GTTTTTTAATGGTTCAGCTGATTAACCACTACGACAAACAGCTAAGGAGTTGATGAAATCTCCATCTCTTGGTGTCTCTTTAATCAAGATTGTAAACCTTCCTTGGTGTGCATGAGTAAAATTTATTGGTCTTAGTAGAAGTAATAATGTTGGTGGAGGTTACTAACATAGGCTAAATTTAAGGGGATAATAATGCCTAATTCTAAAAAAAAACATCTCCCCTCCCTGTTAAGAGTCCAAGTTATCTTTAAGAAAAAACAACTTACAACTGTTTTTTCCTAGTAGGTGTGTTTAAGAGAATGTCTGTGACATCTGGGTAAACCATATCATAATTTGCCAAACAAGTATCCTGTTGATCACCGTCTCGATGAACCACATGGCTGATTCATCATTTTGTGATCAGGAATCACAAAATACCTTTCTTGTAGGTTGTTTCTTGATACATTTCAAGGGCATCCGAACGTTTTATTTTATCCATGTTTATTTGTAAATTTTGTTGTGATGCTGCATGCATGTGTAGGCTAATTGCTTCTAGAGCTCTTACAGCTGACTTATTGACCTGGTTTGTCAAACTTGCTAAATAGATGATTACACATATGACATTGTAAGGGACAAAAATATGCCTATATGGGGTTATAGGGACAAAAATGCCCCAATAACCCTTTTTTGTTCTACATATATGTAGTTTTTCTGCAGACTTCTTCAACATGAGAAACTTAGCAATGACGATGGGCATTTCTTCCATTAAGACCAAAATTTGGACCTGCTGTTCCCTCCATAGGCAACAGAGAAAGAGAGATATACTTGTTCCCTACAGGAATTCAGTATTAGATTCTGTGAATTGCCTTGAAGGACAGTTTCTTTCCACTGAGAGTAAGGTGCTAAGCTGATTTTAATATACTGACCCCTATCAGAATACCTTTGCTTCTCCATGATGATGTTCTATTGTCTATATCATTCAAGAGATCAGACTAGATAGAAGAATATTTAAATCTATAAATTCTTAGAATTATTTATGCTTTCGTAAAGAGTTGATAGTCTTGTAATCTTGTACAAATGGCTGAATCAGAATTGGTAGTTTACATAAAATAGGATTGAGCAAATAAAGAGAGCATTATTGCCTCAGGCCAAGAAGAGTTTGATCTGTGAAATAGTACTTAAGAAAATGTACTGTACCAAGCATTTGAGGATATTTTGCTTGCTTATGATGTAACAACAGCATACCCTCCATTGTGCAAGGTACTGCAAATGCAATTGCCACATTTCAAAACCCGACACAGTGCTGTGATCTTTACCTGAGAGATGCTAACTTACTCTAGCTGAACAAACATATACAGTTTATCAAGCTTTAGGGGAGTGATGAGTAACAGGGGATGACTGCTAAGGTCATCCTTATAATTCAGGAAAAAACTGACAAAGAAATAACTTGGATGTGAGAGCTTGAGAGAACAGGAACTCAACTGTCTGACAGACACCACTGAAAATCCTCAGGGTGGATGACTACTTGCTACCCATCTACTGGGATCCAGATGGACTTGTTCAGAGAAGGAAGGAGTACTTAACCCTATAGTATTGAAAGACACTATAATGTTGGGTTCAGTATGGATTGTGTGCTCTGTCTTTTAGCCCTAGGATTAAAGATCTCAGCTATAGGTGATTGGAGTGGTTAGGCAAAATCATAGCCACGGAGAACATGGATGGTCAGGAAATACTTAGTCTTGTGTGCATGGATCACCTGTACTGGCCATAATGTCACATTGATAGTATTTCAGAGAATATGAAGGGATTTTCATTATTGCCATAGCACAGCAGTTTCTGTTTCACTTGTAGCAGGTAACTATTTTTAGTCTGAAGACTTAAATGCTGTATCCTGACCTGCATTCAGAATTATTTTGGCTTTTTGCTTAGAGACTGTAGCTCTGAGAGCGGCTTCTCTGTCTACTACAAACAGAAAAGTGTTTTGTCTGAAAGCCAGTGTCTTGTGTGTCAGTTCACCTAGGTTTTGATGTGTAGGTTTTATATCTTTTTGAGAGAATAGTACAGAATGTATTATTAAATAAAAAGCCATTGTAAGCAGTGGTCTTGATTTGCTATGTTCCTCACACTGCTCTAGCCTGCGACAATTTCAGTGCACATCAGGCACTACAATCTGATTAGTAATTGGTTTTGATCCTTCCACTGTGCTCTCTTTAGCCACCAGGGATGACAGAACATGAAGGAAGAGTTGTTCTTGAACGCTTCACATTTGTGTGGATCTTTTAGCAGAAAGAGAAGGAACAATGTATTTGTAACCATTTTGTATTTGGCTACCTGACCAGTCCAGCCACAGTCTTCATAAATAGCTGAGATTCAGCTTCTTTCGCAATTATCTTTTAATGAAAGAAACCAAAATTAACAATCTGCGTGAAATGTAACATGTGACCAGTAGCACATTATCACCTAAGTGGTGACTTCTGAGTGAAATGTGAGCACTCGCGGCCTGTGTGATGGAGAGGGTGGCTGAAGCATTTAGGTGTAGCTGGGCATGGCGGGATATTTTGCACTGTGCTTCACCAACTGCAGTTCTCTAAAGCCACCTCTGGTTGTAACCTCTTTTGTGCAGTGGAAATGGAGGAAAAAACATTCTCTGGAGGGAAGTTCTGGTATAGTGAACAACTTCACCAGGATGTTAAGCAGAATGAAACAGTTGTCTGGCCTAGAGAGAAAAAGGAGGGGAAATATCCTGTCTCTCCTGCTGTCCCCTACAAACTGACAGCATTCTGTTTTCCCTTTTCTCCTTCCTTTCTCTTTCCTCCCTTTTCCAAGGCTGAGGTTGACTTTACGCTGCTTCCTATGAAAACTTTTTCTATTGCTTTTTCTATTGCTTTCTTGAAAACTTTTGTTGCTTTTCTCTTTGACCTTTTGCCAGCATCTCTGGGTTTCTAAGACATCATCAGTAACCCGGACATTGAGTCTCTGCCTCACTGCGGTGTCTGGAATCATAATGGAGTCATAGGAAGATAGTGACTTAGCTTGCATTTACTACCCATGGTACAAGAGGAGCACAGTGATGTAAAATTGGAGCTCAGAGGATTCACCTCTGTTAACTATTTAATGATAACTATAATCAAGTGATGGCCCATCCTGTACATCACAAAACAGTAACTTTGTGTTCGATGAAGAGCAGCTTGCAAGATTAAGCTTTCATTACAGAAAAATTCCATGGGTTTTGCATGCATTCTTTATATGTTAGCAAAATACTTTCACCGAAGACCAATGAACTACATTAGAAATTAAAATACCTCAGCCTCTAGGATGGGTACTTGCTAAAATGCCTAAACATACTAAATTAATCTTGCATTTAAGAAATAAAGCCACATTAACCTGAAAACTCAATTGTCTATATTTTTCTCAGTTACAATGTGTCAAATCTGAGATCCTAGCAGTAGGAAAACAGTGCATCTTTTAGCTAATTCTTGCCTCCTTTAGTCAGGCTAGAGACAGGTATGCTTTACTTGAACATTTACTTCATGACTCATCTTACTGTTTATATGATATGCCTTAGTATGCAAAATAAAAAGCAGTTCATACATAAGTGAATCAAAATTTTAGTTCTCACCAAAGTAAAAAAAAGGAAAAGAAAAAAAGTAGGAAATTATTAGTTCAATATTACTTAGCAACAACGCAAGATTCTGTCTTGGTTCACTGAAAGAGTGATGTGGGATCAGTTTCATAGAGCCTCATGTAAGTTAATGCTGTGCTTACAGGTGCACAAATACTATGAGAAGCCTTTGTTATAGGTGACAGATAGCTGAGGCAGTGATAAATATCAGAGAGTCTATTGCCCTGTCATTGCCATGCTCTACCCACAGCCATTAGACCCAAACTGGAGTAATTAGCCCAGGCAGAGCATTGGATTAATGGTTACACACTTCTTCTGGTACCTTCATGAATAGAACTGCAAACTCTGCAAAAATACACATTGTGAACCATAGAGAACGCATCACTGTGAGGAACACCTGCAGACCATGCACATTTTGAGGTCATCATCTTTTCTGGCATAGCTGTTTCTCTCTCTGACTCCATCATGGGCTTCTATAACTGCCTTCACCCTCCTCGCAGGTAGAAGGTTCTGGTTTTTGTGCTTAGCCAGAATTAGCCACTCTGCTCTGCCTATGAGAAAATGGGAAATTCCTGTTCAGTTTTGAGGCAGAGTATGATCAAAGCAGGAAGGATTTTTTGCAGGGCTCTAGCTATTCCCTTGCCGATCCAGTTTTCCGGAGAAGTAGAAAGTTAGTGAAAAGCTGGCATAAGAAAAATGGGCAAAATAAAATGTACTGATGTAAGAGAGCTTCACAAAGAGAAGACCATGAGTATAATATGAACAAAAGGTAAGGAAAAATATGTAGGGTTTGTTTGTTGTTTTTTTTTAAATACTCCATTTCCTTTTAGGTTAATGTTTTCAAAAACTTTCATCTGTCAAATGCCATACTCAAACAAGGGAAGAGTGCATCTAAAAATAGTCTGCAAAAGTCCAACATTTTCAATATGTTCTGTGTCCTGTCTTTTCATTTTCAGTCTAACAGAGGCTAAAACTATGACTAAACATTTAAAATACATTAAAAAAATGATTTAGCATACTCTTGCCTGAATTGGACTTAATTTCCCTGAAATCCTCTGAACAGTCCTTGCAGGTCTTGATTTATTTGGTAATCTGTATTTCCAGCATCCTACTTGGGTATTGAATAGATTACTGTACGTAACTTCTTCAGACGTTAAGTTTAACTTAAGCTTTTTCTAATATTCACAAAACCTTGAAGAAGTTAGGTATTACTTGGAAATGTATCTCTCTGTCAGGTTCTTCAAGGAGCTGTTAATTTTGGAGACCACTCCAGGCAAGAGTGCAAGCCTCATCAAAATGTGCTGGGGTATTGACAACAGCGTACGCCTTGCACAGTATTGCTTCCATGCTAACTTTGTTCTCCTTAAAGAAATTGTGGACATTTAATTTTAAATTTTAGGAGCGTCTTCTACTTTCTTTGCTGCCCGCTCACATTGCCATGGAAATGAAAGCAGAGATCATTCAGAGGTTGCAAGGTCCCAAGGCAGGCCAGCTGGAAAACACCAACAACTTCCACAATTTGTATGTCAAAAGGCACACCAATGTAAGGTACTGTACTGTAATAAAACATATCAACAACATTCAGAAAAAAATTGAAAGAAAATCTTAACAGAGCAATTAATAAAATAATTCTTTTAATATGTGTTTCGATGACTTAATGTTCGATGTCTGTTAATTTGATCAAATGCTAACAATTCCATGTCCCAGAAGAGCAACAGAGGGGATACTACAAAGAAATTGTTCAAAAAAAGCCATGCATAAACAGACCTTCTTCATGATGTCTTGATTTTTGAGGCAAAAGTACCAAGTCCTGCTCTCATATATACTAGTAAAAATTGTAATTCGTGTCAGCTATATTATTCTGAATTTGTAATTTTCTTAACTGGAGGAATTTCACAAGTTTTACATAATATAAATAGAGGCAGCTGCATCACATATGTATTTTACACATTACCTGAGATAAAATACTCTGCTGACAAGTCTAATTATCTATTAATTATTAATTCCTAGAAGTTACAAAAATAAATCACCATTTATTTCAAATATATTTTCATCTTTACAAGTCGTTTTGCTTGGGGTTTTTTTTGATTGGACAAGTTAATTTGAATGACATTCTTAGATATGACTTTTTTAAAGCAAGTATTACAGGACTTCTGAGGAAGTTCATTTTCACTTGCATAAATCACAAGCACAAATACTTTTTCCTTTGCCTGGTCCTGTGAATGGTCAAGTTGTTTTGGTGAATAGAAGCAGTGTATGCGTTGAATATCTTAGCAATCAAGCATGAACTTGGGTTACAAGTGAGAAAAAACTTCCATGCTGCACATGACTGACAGGTAAATCTAGACAGAAAATATCTACAATGATAAAAAGTTATTAAACAATTTCTGATAATAAACATGTATACTGAAATAATTGCCATTATTATGTTTCCAATTTGTAAGTAGTAAAAAGATTTCTACTTTTTTGAAGGCACTGTAAAAATATAGGTTTATAATGCCTATAGATATCTATTAATATAGGTATACTGATAAAAGTAATAGCTGTGAAGGTAGTATCTATAAAGGTAAATACAGGTGTTTGTTACCTGTAAACGAAACACCTATAAAGGTAAATGTAGGCTCACCTAGAAGTATAGTTATATTTATTGATCTACATTTAGCAGTGGCTGTTTTGGGTACGGGCGTACCTCTGCGAAGTCCAGAATGCCTCCTTTCAGGTTTTGCTGTTGTGTGATAAATCTGAGTTCTGCAGAAGGAAACGGTGACCATGTTCCTGTTCATTTCCACTGTAGCATCTTGTACGCTGATATCGTGGGATTCACTCGCCTGGCCAGTGACTGCTCCCCAGGGGAACTGGTGCACATGCTAAATGAGCTGTTCGGCAAGTTTGATCAGATTGCAAAGGTGGGTTTCTACTGAGCTGTTACGGTTAGTTTAAAAAAGTAAGTCATCTTTAAAATATTTTTTCTTCTTGAGGACTCTCCTACCTTCAGGCAGCATTTCTGAGGTTTTTGGCAGGAAGATTAGATTTGAAATGTGTGAAGAAAAAATCTGGCTCTGGTCTGAGTGCAACAGTGTGTTTCTGCCAGTGTGACAATCTGTGAAACCCAAGATAGCTCTCTAATAGGACCAATAGAGACAGCTCATGGAGCCTGATAAAGCTTAATGGCAGATCATTGGCTCTTTAAATAGATTTTTTACAATAACTAGGATTAAGAAACTCAAGATACAAAACAGATACAGTCAGTTTTCTGATCTCTGAAAAAGCATTTAAGAGACTGGAGGACAAGAGAGACAATATTGATAGAAGCAAGTTTAATTACAGACCACAGCGTCTTGATTACTCAAGAAAAGATTCAAATACAGTCAGAAGATTTGTTTATTTAGGTGTCAATTTTATAAATAATACATCAAACTTTATACTGTATGTGAAGGTGAAATCAGAAACACTAAAACATAAAAAAATTATGTTTTTTTCCTAGTTCAAAAGCTACTGACCAGTATTGGTTAACAAAAAATAAAAAAAAATAAGGTTATGATTGCTAGTTTCAGGAAATATTACATACTTCAGAGATATAAATGTGGAAGGCTAGGTCTTTTGATTTCATATTTCAAACAATAAATCTTTATTTAGATTGAGTACCTGATACTTGGGCTCATTTCTTTAATCTAAAGTGTGAACAACACTGCAGATACATGTTTTGCAGTGAACTTATTTCCTGGTTTTGCCCATTATGGACCATAGCGGATGGAGGAATCATCGGTAAAAAACTCTGAGAGTACTTCTTTTTTAGGAAGCCAAAGCCTTCACTACTGAAACAAACTTAAGTGGAATGATTTTGCTAATATTATTTAAGTCAATCTTTGTAAGGGTAACCCTTCATTTATGTCATTCAAGTTGAAAGTGACCATCTCAACTTGCTTTTTTCTCCAGGAAAATGAATGTATGAGAATTAAAATCCTAGGTGACTGCTATTACTGTGTTTCTGGACTACCTATATCTCTTCAAAATCATGCCAAGAACTGTGTGAAAATGGGACTGGACATGTGTGAAGCAATTAAGTAAGTGCTGAACTCTTTGTTAAACACTCAGCAATAAAAATTCTGTCTCTTTTCTCTCTGTAGCACTGCTGTTGGTTGAAACATTCAGACCTCCAGTAGTTGGTGTGTTTCACTACAAGGTCCAGCATGGTAATCTTGATCTCAGCCTCAGCAAAGACATCTTTTAAGAGGTTGGGTTGTAGCAGGCTATTTCATCACCACACCATAGAGGTGATTAAGGGTCTGGACCATCGGACACATAAGGAAAGGCTGAGTGAGCTGGGACTGTTCAACCTGAAGAAGAGAAAGCTGAGGGGGAAAAATCTTGTCAGTGCTTTTAAGTCCCTGAAGGGAGAGTGCAAAAAAGATGGAGCCAGGCTCTTCAGTGGTGCCCAGTGACAGGACAAGAGGAGATGGGAAGAAACTGAAACATGAGAGGTTCCCTGTGAACATCAGGAAACACTTTTTGTCACTGTGAGGGTGACTGAGCACTGGCATAGGTCATCCTGGGAGGTTCTGGATTTTCCAGCCTTGGAGGTACTCAAAATTCAACTGGAATGGCCCCAAACAACCTGCTCTAGCTGGCCCTGTTTCGAGCAGGAGTTAGACTAGACAATCTCCAGATGTCCCTGCTTACCTCAACTATTCTGTGATTATAAGACAGTCAGTATCCCAATGGACATCACTTAGGACTTGAGAGCTTTGCTTTTTGCATGTTCATGATGCTGCCACCCACCCGGCTGAGTTTGGAGTTCAGTGGTGATCAGGAGCAGTTACCCCTCCACAATTAAGATGCCTCAAGCTTTGAGTCTGTGGAGTGATATTTGACATGTCTACCAAAGACATTTATAATGGCTCACAGATTCCTGGGCTGAGAGGCCTACATCCCATGTTGTTAAATGAGCAGTTATATATGCCTGTCTTGCTAGACCCCACGTTTAGGTTTAGTTTCAACTTTTCTAGGTGAGGACTTTTTAAAAAGTTTTGTCAGTTAACACATTAAGACACTATTGAGGATTCTGGACTTAGCAGCAGTATTTTGGATTTCTGGGTTACTGTATATGTCCTTTATTTCTTTCCCATAATCACTGTGCTTGTTTCGTCTTTGAAACAGAAAACAGAACAAGGTCTGTGAGAATGCTAATGTGATTGCTTTTGAAATAGCAGTTGTAACTTACTTTGTAATAGCAGGAGGCTTCGTATGATTGTGAAAGAGGAAGAAGAAATGTGGTTGTATCCGATGGGTTAGAACTTGTAAGGCATCGGAGGATACAGCTACGGGCATAACTTGAAGAATCCTCGAGTTTATTACTGAGGAGTAGATCGTGAATGGATTATAGGCAGCTGTAGCCATTCTGAAGGCGATGGGACTTCGAAGAAGTCTTGCAAAAGGGCAGGTTTACTTCCCCTCATCTCTCCACCTGGCTGCTGTCTGGACTCTCAGTACAGAGCAGAAATAACTCTTTTGTAAGATAACTGCCCTGGATGAGTTCTGCCACAAAGCTGGACACGTGTCAGTTTGAGGGTACTCAAACCTAATTTAAGTCTAGCATGTGTGTCTGCACATCGTGCTGAAGGGTCTTAAAGCTGCCTATCCAGAAACTTCAGCTCAGTATTGTAGTTTATTGGGTAAGCAAAGGTCTGATTCTGTTAGCTTATTTAGAAAACATACTGTGAGGAAAGGACAATTTAAAAACCTTCCACCTCTTCTTTTTTTTAACCAAAGTCAGATAATTCATTGTCTGTAATTCATACCTGAAATTCTTTTTAGCTTTGAGGAGTTGAAATACTGTAAATAGTTACTTATAGCAGTTATCATTAATGGCACAAATATCTTTTCTGTAGAAAAGCTGTTTTCTTTGACTAAAACTACAGCGTATCTAGGTGAGATACACTTTGCAAAAATATGTATCACTTGTAGGTCTGGATATTTGGTATTCACCTGTATGATTTGGGTTTTAAAACAATTGGACTTTGGCTTTAAAATTGGTATGGTCTTCTCTAAGTTTCAGTTCCAATTTGGATGTTTTTGCCCAACTCACATTTACAATTGTCCAGGTAGCAATTTAAGAATTTACTTTGTCCTTGTCAGGTATGTGGGTGGTGTGCACCTCTTCATGAAATGGATAGTTGTGTTGAACAGTGCTGTCTCAATGATTAACTAAACAGGCAGACAAAAGTGATATCTCTATTCCTTAAATACTACCCCTCAGGTGCGTGTGATTGTAGTCACAAGAGGGTTTCAGCTTTCAGTTGCCTGGCCTTGTGATTTGATCCAGGGCAATTACTGTATGGGTGGGTTGATTAATGCAAATTTGGTTCTTTTCCTTTTAAGGTGTTCACAGAAATACCTTTATTTCCACAGAAATGCCTGTGGAAATCAGTATTTTGTTCTCACTGGTTTAGGGATCTTTTGTAAAACTAACCTCAGCACAGGAATCAAGTTGGCACATTTTCTAAAATGTTTTTTCTTCATCCAGGTATGGTTGTACCTTACATTGTGTTCAAATAAATCTGTTCTTTTTAAAAGATACTTGGATTACTTCTCCTTGCCAAGCATTGACATTTTCAGATTTGATTGTTTCCTCAGTTGCTTTCACTGGATGCTTTTTCTCTCTTTCATTTAGATACACTAGAACATTATTGTAATTAAACCAATTGCTTCTCTAGAATATTAGTAGCTAAAGCTAACATCCCTTCAGTAGAGCAGTAGGTAAAAGAGTGTCCTTGTTCTGCACTCCCTGCCTTGTTTGACTGAAAATTATTAGGGTTTTTTCCCCAGCCTTTGAGTGAAAATGAGAGCTTTCTGGTTTAGATTTCAAAAGATCTGTGAGCTGTGTGATAAATGTGTTAAAAGCATTTGCACAGAGTTTCTGGTCAATCTGTTGCTTTTTTAAGTAAGATAAAAGAAGTATAGAAAGTTGCAGGCTGGTAGAAAAACAATGCTAAGCTCAAGCCATAAATTGCCCATCACGGAGAACTGAAAGCATCATTTTACACATCACAATGAAATGCTTTACTTCAGCTCAGAGAGGAATCTGTCAGTTCCTCACACTTCCCAACTTGCCAATTTTCTTTGAAATAACTTTCTGCTCAAACTGCTACTGAGTATGTTCATTGTTAATGCTGGAGGGTAAGGTCCGCTTTGGTAAGAGCAGCCTTATAGACTAGAAAATTATCTTTTAGTTGTACATTCTGATCTGACTTTATTACTGTAGTCAGAATCCGCAGCTCTCCTGTAGACAGATGCCTGATTATCACAGCCTGTTTACATCTCTGTAAGAAGTGAGAAATCTGTACCCCATGTTTTCAAATGCTTCCCAAGTATTATGTCTAGTGTTGGAGCCTGCAGGTGAATGAAAATCACTGATTATTAATCAACTCCCTATTTTGTTGTGCGATTGCTGCATCTTTGTGTGGAAGCATCTCCTGAAATACTTCTGTGGCCTGTAAAACCAGAAGTAGTAATACTTTTGCTGTTGGAAGTGTGTCACTCAGTATATGTTGGACTATCTAAAATCCTTTTAGTCAGGTATGAGGTTTTGTTATATTCAGTCACTGAGGTGCAAACTGACCCCTCAGTGTGTAAGTTAGTGGAATAAAGCAGTTTGCTGTTTCGATTAACAGTGCTGTATGGATTTTACCACCTGAATATGGTTTCAGTTCCAGTTCTCTGAAGGAAAAAGGAGGAATTCTACCAAATTGCCAGGTGATCTGTAGTACAAAGCTTTAATTCAGTCTTGTTTCCTAATGATGCGTAGATCCATTTTGAGCAATTCAGCCTCACTACGCTACAGATTGTTTCCATTTAAATATGTTAGTAGCCCCATGGATTGATTAATTTCTTTGCTTCGCTGCTCTGTGTTGGAACAAACACAATGTTTCTTACAGTCTGCAGCCTGCTTGCCCAGCAGTTGGATGCTCACCTTATCAAACTGTAGATGCTGTTATGCTGAGCTGGCCACCTTAACTGGGTGCTTTCAGGCTACAGCTTATCTGTTAAGGCTAAATGTGTTTGTGTATGAATACATGTGCTGTTTTCCTTCAGCCCAAACTCCACCCCCTTGTCTGTCTGCTGACTTCCCGATTTACATGTTTCTCAGCCACACATTCTCAAAGGCTGTCTTTGATTTGGTAGCATGACATGAATCCTGTTTGAGAGGAAAGTGAAAGAAACAGTTGGATGAAATTTGGAAGCTAGGTACACAATAAAACTTTTTTTAGGTATGATTTCATTCCTGCATGCTTGTTCCAAAAAGCAACTGTGCTTTTAAAGCTGACAATTTGCAAGGGACTAAATGCTCAAAACTCAAGGAATGTGTTGAAGTGCATAAGACAGGACTAGCTGAGATGTTGATACATTGGTCCAGAATTACTGATGAATAAAACAGCCTGAATGCCTTTCTAATGACCTGAACTCTTGCTGGTGTGGAGTAAAATTTCTACAAGTACCTGCAAGCTAACCATGTCTGTGAAAAACACAGAAACCTTACAAACTAAAATTTCAGGCTACAATAGGAAGAATAGAGTCTTCAGTATTTTGACTGCCCAGCCAGGATGGGACACAGACTCTGGAGTGCTGAGGGAAACTGGAGAGACAGTGGGAGAAGAAAACGAAATAATAGTGGGAAGTTTCAGATGTACTTGTGTAGGTAAGGCAAGTGTCCTATGGGGAGGTGATAGACTACGTTCGTAGGCACATTCAGTGCCTGCATTGTCATAGCAATTGCTCAGGGAGCACAGGAGAGAAGTAGTAAGCTCTTACTTGGTCTGGAGTAACACTTCCAATTTAAAATCTTCTGTGGTTTCTTTAATTTTTGAGACAAGAGAAGATTGGGTTCTGGAACAAATTCTGCTTGCTTCCCTCCTTAACTCCTCAGAGCTTATTATAAAGCAAACTTCATGTCTTACTCTGCACAATATGGCAGGGCAGCCTTTTGACAAGCACTCCCGGAGGATAAATGCTCCTCTTCCACTTTGCCCAGCTTTGTAAAACATGGTGATTTTTTTCCAATGTGTTAAGCTTGTGTCATATTCCTTGTGCAAGTCAAAGTGGTGTTTGTCAGTTGCTGACTGCTTATAAAGATCATTTACAAAGCAGTTCATTTTCAAGTGTGTCAGCTACAGGAGAGCAGTGTAAAATGTCAGCAAAAAGAGATATTAGTAAACACTTGATACAGACTGAAGGAATTAAAAAACTTCTCCCCTCTTCTTTTTGATAACTTCAAACCACAGTTTAACGAACTACTTTCAGTCAAGCTTCTGTTATTTTCATTTCCCAGAAAAAGAATACTTGAGAACTACTGCTTAAATGTAGGATTTACCATATCAAATTAAGATGTTAAGTTCTATGTTCCCTTTCAAAAAAAGCAGAGAAACAGGCCAATTTAATTTGGTAGTTCAGAAGGTAGAGCTGATGATTGTCGTCATTGAGACTGAAGATGTTGCTAGAACTGTGAACCTGACTCATACACAGGAACCCTTTGTGTTTCTTAGTCTATAGCTGTTTCTTCCATCAACACCCTGAATTCCTCCAAGATAAATGTATGTACATATTCCTTATTACTGGTTAGGTTTTGGTCCACATGAGTTGGGGTATAAGTACATAAATCCAGTTAAGTTAAATTCTTCCCACTTCTTAGAACTGGATAAACCTGTAGACTTCTGAATTAATTTTACGACTATTTACATAGGTAGTTAGGTACCCATATGACATATGTCTGAAAATGATCTGGTTGTTTGACTTTAGTCACCCACCTGTGATTCAGAAGAGCTTTTTCTGGGAAGACGAATGCCTATCTTATCTGTAGGGGTCATCTGAGATTGATTTTGGGGTCAACAGATACTTCAGCTCTGTCTAAAGTTACTGGAAAGGTCAAAGGTTTAGATGTGGTCTGGACAGTGAGGGTGGTCTCTCGTTCTTTGTGTAACAATCTAATGGGTACAGCGTTCACCAAGTATGTGGAAGGCTGTTGAGCCTACGTTCTCCACAGCCTGAATGACACTGAGCCCGTATGCCCAAAAAGTGTACAAGCCACCAGCCTGTAGAATATCTTGAGGTGCTGCATTTTCCGTCCTTTCTCTCAGGTATGACAGATATGAGAAAGTCTCCAATGTAGATATTAGGGTCTTCAGGTAGAAGAGTGCATAACAATAGTTCCAGATCTCCAAAATAATCCCCAGGTGTTGTCATGAGACTGAACATTTTCACTACACAGTTCAGCCCCCCCAAATAATTTCAGATGAGCATAAAAGAAGGGACTTCAGACATAGACTTGAGAATTAATATTTACTACAAATAGTTGCAAATATAAATAAGAAGAAAGGTAATATATAAAAATAATCCCAGCGTTAAAAAAATGGAGGCAATTCGAAAAGGAAATAAATGTTATCACTGTTGTTACTGCTAATTTGACTGTAAATTGAAAGAAAACTAAGACCCTATGATGCGTATTAACACGGTTTTCTTCTCAACTGCAGGAAAGTGAGAGACGCAACTGGAGTTGACATTAATATGCGCGTAGGAGTGCACTCTGGGAATGTGCTTTGTGGCGTTATTGGTCTACAGAAGTGGCAGTATGATGTCTGGTCACATGACGTTACTCTGGCAAATCACATGGAAGCTGGAGGAGTCCCAGGGTAAGAGGCTTCTCTGTTAACCTTTGGACACATGGATTTTTGTATCATGGAGAAATGCATAGGTGCCATCTCTTCAGCCATCAGCCTTCATGGAGAAGCCTAAACTAATTCTTAGCACTGTCTTCAGAAAAAAACCCAACCAAACAGGCACTCTATTTCCTGTGATTTAGGGAGTATTTTTTTGTGGATGGAAACCTTTAGAGGTATGCCCATTAGAACTTGTAAAAATAAGATTAGAGGGACTGTAAATGAAGCAAGCAGCTTATAAAAAGTATATCCAAAAGCTAGTGAAAAAGGTTGATCAGGTTCAAATTATGCTTTTGATCGGTATTTGTGATTCTGTCATTCTTTTAAAATATAATTTCAGCCGTGTTCACATCACTTCAGTCACCTTGGCACATTTGAATGGAGCTTACAAAGTGGAAGATGGGGATGGAGATGTGAGGGACCCATATCTGAAAGAGCATAATGTTAAGACTTACTTTGTAATCAATCCTAAGGTTAGTAGTACTTTTATTTTGTGGCCAGTCATAGTTATTTTTGAGCAGGACCACTAATCTCTTAATTGAATAATTCACTACCATAAGATATTGATCAAAGCTATTACTGATGCCTACAAATATATAACGTTTCCATTGCAAATCCTTCCCGCTCTTCAGAAATAAGTCTCTGATATTTCCCAGCAACACCATTAAGAATTGCAGGTTCTTAGCATCTCTCCATTTTTAAGTTCCTAGGCATGCAGATGTGTGGTACCAGATGATGCATTACTGCTTCAAAAGGTAATGAACACCAAGGCTGATATCACCTTTTATTCTCTGTCAACCAGGGAGAGAAGCGAAGCCCTCAGCACCACATTAGACCTCGACATACTCTTGATGGAGCCAAAATGAGAGCTTCTGTCCGCATGACCCGATACCTGGAATCTTGGGGAGCGGCCAAGCCATTTGCACACTTGCACCACAGGGACAGCATGACCACTGAAAACGGCAAGATAAGCACAACAGTAGGGGCCTATTTCATGTCATTTCATACGATTTAGCAATATTTGAAAAGAAAAACGTGTTTACATACCTGGTTATTTCTGATAGTAGAAGATGCATGCGTTTGTACAGGGCCTAAGCCCAGTGAAGTTGCTGAGAGCTTTTCCATTGGCATATGAGCTTTGAATTAGACTCTAAGGAGCCATGTCTTGCTGTAAGTGCATCTCTGAATCACAGGGAGTCCAACGTACTTCCTAAAATCCACAAATTGACTCTCTGAGCTTGAGCCCCAGTCACAGCATGCGGAGTGGCTGCTATTCACCTTGTGGAAAGATATTTTGAACATAAAGGTAGAGTTCAACACCTTTGGGAAGGAACACTTGATACAGAGACATTCTCTGATATTCTCCATTTGGAACATGGCCAAACCAGAAGCAAAGGCTGTAAAGATGGAATATGCCTGTGGTACCTGGGGTGAACTTGTCTATTAGAAGAGTTCTCTTGGAACCAAATCCATATTCACTGTAACATCTACCTTCTGAAGGTGGACTAACCACTCCTCAGCTACGGCTGATGGCCTGAGTTCCACAGCATGGTAGTGTAACATTACATCTCTTAGACTGAGCAGAAAAGATTTCTTTTTGATTTTGCTAACACTATTTTATTGCTGTAGGTAAGACCCTGACAACAGCTTATACACTGTCTTATCTTTTACTTTTAAAATGTGCAAACATAAAGGTAAATTCTAGTAGTTTTTGACATTGGCATTCACTTTTGTTCCTGTTACATGTGAGAACATAGGGCTGAGTCCCCTAACCCATCCTATTCAATAAGTACAATGCATCAGGATTGTGATGTGTTCGTTACAGAAAGTACCCAGCCATCACTGTTAAGCACAAAATAAATGTGGCTGTGATGGCTGCTGTTGCTTATCAATAAAAATAATGACCATTGCCTCTATTTGGCCACTCAGGTCTGTTTTCTTCAAAAACACTTAGCACTGTTTTTCACTGAAGCTGGCAGGAGTTTGGGCTGCATTAAAGCAGCAGTGACTTTGAAGCAGTGACTTTCTAGTAAAGCAAAGCATTCTTGGATTCAAACTGTTGTATTAGTTATTTAGTGTTTGTAATGATAGATCGGTTGTCTGCAGGTCACTCCATCTTCGCTCTTGGCTGGATTCTTCTTCTAGATAGTATTTCTCTAATGCTAAAGTATTTGTATTGGAAACTTTCTCCTTACTTGACCTTGTTTTCAACATTATTTTTAAAGCAAAGTAATGTTGTAAAAATTTATTGTAGTTCATAGGAATTTTCTCTTGTTTTTTAGGATGTTCCCATGGGGCAATATCATTTTCAGCGTTGCAGAGAGAGGTAAATTAATTTTTTAAAATCATTTAGTCATATAAAGTCTATATAAAAACATACACATTCCTATCCACTCATACATATGTATAAGGCAGGCTATAAAATATTGACGGCCATTTCTCACCCAAATTATTTTTTTACCTGATACTTCTTACGTAGAGAAGGGCTATGAAAATGGGTTTGACAGACATGTTACTTATGATTTTTGAATACATTTCCTGCTAACAAACAGCATTATTCTGAATTGGTATGAGTATCTTAATTGGCTACTATTCATTTTCCTAACGACCCAATTGCTCATCAGTAGGGAGAAAATTATATGCAGGAGGCACAGAGGGGTAAGAAAAGGAAAGATGTAAAGGGCTGTTAATAATTTGTGTTAAAACAGTTAATAATATGTACTAAAAGAGTAATTTTATGTATTTTGTTAATTGCTTTGTATTTGCATTGTGTTTTATTATTTCAAAGCCTGTAGTGTGTTTGCAGTAGTAAACATTCAAAAGGTATTTTGTGATCTTCCTGTTGTGCTCCTGCTACACAAAATGTTTGCAAAATCACAGTATCTTTGAGTTTTCATTCTCCTGCTTGGAACTTAAGTGACTAGGGCAAGACGATGAGAAATGGAAACAGGCTTGAAATGATCACTTCTTTAAAAACACCTAGAATTTTTAAATCAAGAAAAGAAAGACACCTGTTTAAAAAGCAAGCTTAGCACTGTCAGAAACCTGGAATGGTTAATTTGTATTTTAGCTACCACTTTAGAATCATAGAATCATAG